CCAGGGGGCGGGGCGGCGATGTCACCCCCCTCAGGGATGAATCCCAAGCTGGCCGCACCTACCGCACCCCCCTTCCTCCGCCAATGGATGTAAGCCATTTTGAACTCTTGGAAAGGCAGGTGAGGGAAGAGTGGAATCACAGCAGCAGGCCAGTCTATGCACATTCAGTCGACCCTAATTTGAACATGTGAAAAGGGAAACATCATTGGAGGGACTCCAAATTTATAAAAATCCATAAAGAATGCAAATGAACAGGATAAATGAATACATTTGTGGGGGATGCTACCGTAGCTGTACTTCTTACGCCACCACCGAAACTCGAAACTGCCAAAAGAACTGCTGCTTGACGGGTGGTTTGTGGTTAAAGGATAAACCCTTATCAAAATGAACTTTGACATGCTCAATTCACACACTGTTCAGAAGCAGAACTGTACCCTGAACTCTGTTACAAGTTGCAGGAACAGGGAGCTGCAGAGAGTAATTACACAATTGTAATCAGCAGAGGGGTTTTTTAAAAAAAGGACTGAAAAAAAGGAATCACTGCTGTCTCTGATACTGGGTATTGTTCACAGATTCTGTTTTCGGAGTGGGGACGCCAAATGTGATTTTATTTATTCCTTCCTCTCCTTCCTTACCTATATTGGAGAATTTGAGGCTGCTGTCTGGGGAGAGGGAGAGAGGTTTTGTTTTGTAGGTAGTTATGTGATCTCATTTATTCATAGTTTGTTGGTAGTCAAGTACCCCGCCTCCCCGGGCATATCTACTATAAAAATAATGAAGCTTAAGCTTCAAAATTAGGTCTAGTAGACCCAATTTGAGTTGCACGATTGAAATTGATCATTTTTTTGTTGTATAGATTTCAACAATACCATAGTTTGAAACTCAGTGGCACAGATGTTGTAAAGGTATGGTGATCCGTCATGGAAAAATTCTATTGAAGAAGATAGCAGTGGTTACCCAGAACTCATTGCTGGTTGCGAAGGGGGCCCCATAACAGTTCAATCTTCAGGCCCCCCAAAATGTAGGTCCCCCAGTAGTACCCCCTATAAATAATTCGAGTTTGTTTGGATGATTTTGTTACTAGCCCCCACCCCTACAAAATATGAATGACATTTTCTTTGGCCACTTTTGGACATAAATTAAAAATATTTCTGTTCTGCCAGATGATGTGTTTCCCTGTTATATGTTTTCTTGTACCTGCTGGTGTAATGTTTCTGGGATAGCTTTTGGAATTTGCTACTACATCACTCTTTTCCATGTAAAATATTCAAAGCATCTGTCAGAGCTGGCTCCAGGTCCCAGCTCACAGAGGACCAACGCTAGCCGGCAGTAATGTACAAAAGTCTTTATTGAAGTACAGTTTCCATTTCCAAACCGGAGCGCCCCAGCTCTACGTCTTAGAGCTAGACCGGCGAAGCTCCATCTGAGTCTCCGCCCCCTGTACACCAGTTTAAGACTCTAACCTTACTCCACCTCTTCCGTCTCTCCTTTCTCCTCTGGGTCCTTCTACCCCCCGGGGTCCCTTCAGTCCTGGACTCTTCTGACGCTGACGCTGACCCCCCTGAGTCTCCTCCCTCCTTTCGGCGGGCTTTAGGACCTGGCTCCCTATCCGGGCTGCCCACTGCGCCGCCCTCTTGTACATTTGAATTTGGCGCACGCGCCCAGTCTCCGACCTTCCTTTTGACCGTTTCCTCGCTCTCCGATGGAGGTGTGGCCAATCCTGACTCATGTCCTCCCGCTGGCGGTGCGCCGCCTGATCCCGATGCCTGGGACTCCTCCCCCCTACTGCGCTCTGGTGGAGAAGCTGGTCCTGATTTCCAACTGCTGCTCTCTGATTCCCCTCTTGCCCCTTCTTCCTGGGGTGTCCCCCTAGGCACCCCCCTTGCTCTGACCATGGGAGCCCCTTTCTGTGAATCCTCCGAGTCGCTGGAGAGACTCAGAGACCTCGGACGGCTGTCATCGCTAACATTTCCTTCAGATTCCTCCCCCTCAGTCTCTATTTCCTCCCTCTCCTGTGCCTCTGCTCCTGAGCCCCTGACATCCATCCCCCCCTCGAAGCCCCCCCTTCCCCCCTCCCCTCCTTCCGGTGTGGGTACTGGGTGCTCCGTCGTTGTGGGGGTGAGTGCCGGATACAGTTTGTCCCCCTCGTCGTACATCCAGCCGGCTAAGTCCGGCTCGACCTCCGTGCTCTCGCCGATGTCGATCTCCTCTGCCTCCATCTCTCTGCCTCCGTGCTCGAACCCAACGTCCTCCCCCAACACGTCCATGTCCGTCTCTCCCCCGTTCTCATCTGAGGGTGTTGCCTGCCAAGGACCCCCCAGCCACTTCCTGCGCCACTGCTCCTCTGGTTGATCGTCCCACCAATAAGAGCGGTCTGAGGCCGACCCCGAGGGTGATCCCTCCGGAGAGCGTGTGTCTGGTGCCGGTTCCTCGTCCGAGGCGAACCCCTGGAACGTGCTGGCTGAAAGTGTGGGTGTGAAAAGCCAGTCGTCGAAATACTCGGCTGGCATGGGCCTGTGTGGGAAGAGGGCATGAAATTCTTCTTTGAGCAAAGGTTCCTCCAAGGCATAATCCGGCACCCAACTGTTGGCGCCGGCCGGGGTACCTTCTCTGGCGAGGAGATATTCTACTCCCTCTTCCCCCCATCTCGAGTCTAAAATCTCCGTGACTTCGTTGATGGGTTCCCCCCTTGGCGACCCCCTCTTTGTGGGCGTTTCCCTGAGCGGGTCTGGTGCCGTGCCTGGCTCCTGAAATCTGTGAGGTGCTTTATAGGGCGTGAGCACTGATCTATGGAACACCAGGTGCATTCTGGATCCCTCCGGAAGTGTCAACCGGAAGGCCACTGGATTGACCTGTGCCTCGACTTGGTAAGGCCCTAGCTGCTTATGTCCGAGCTTCTTCTTGGCTAATGATCTGGCCGGCACTGCCTGAGCTGCTAACCAAACCCAGTCTCCCACCTGTATGTCTTCCCCAACCCTTCTGTGTCTGTCAGCCTGCAGTTTGTATGCGTGCTTTGCTAGTTCTAACTGCCTCCGAAGCTGTTCGTGGACCTCCTGCAACTCTGATGCTAACATTTCCTTCAGATTCCTCCCCCTCGGTCTCTATTTCCTCCCTCTCCTGTGCCTCTGCTCCTGAGCCCCTGACATCCATCCCCCCCTTTGTTAGACAGCATCTAACAAATTATAAATACTAAAATTGCAAAACAAAAATGTTTTTAAATGATTAAAAGAAACAAAATGCAGGCAAGTAGTAGTGCTAGAAGCACATTGCAGAAGTTAAATAGTATTGCCTGCTGAATTACACATTCCATAGCTTGGAAATGCTGACTGCATCCCATTTCTGCTTATCCATTCAATTACAGGAAGTCCCCACTGACTACTTCTGTCCTTGTACCATTCAGCTTTTTTGGCAAACAACAGGATTGTTAAAAGATGAAAAACTGATAACTTTTTGTTTACAGCCAATAGTTGATGTGGATTTTTGGTCAAAGCTCTATCTAAAATAATTGAGTATATTCATTACACCCCACAATACTTATTGTCTTTTTGACATTTTTTTCACATTCAAACATTTGCTACTTTTGATTAGCTGGCCTAAAAACATTGACTTAAATAGAGAGATGGATACGATCAAAACAAGTGAAAGCTCGAAAGCTAGATCTCTTTTCCCAAAATTACATTACTAAACTTAACTCCTTTTGCTGCCATGAACTATCTGTGTAATACTGAGCATATTAATAAGTCTCAAGTCATTTCCTAAATTGATGCTTAAAACTAATAACAGCTTTTGGGGGTGTTGCCAGGATGTGTGTCTTCAAACAGAGATTTGCATAAGTTCTAGCAGGTATGTAAACATCAAAGAGATTGAAAGGTAAGAAAAGG